TTGTTGGATTCCAGTGCCTGAAAGGAAAGGTCCAAGCCATCAAGAAACTGAGACTCAAAAGACGTTCGATCAGGTTTGCTCGATGATCCAAAGTACTGGTCTGTAGGAGTGAGGTGGGGAAATAGATTCTGGCTGGTTTCCGCAACGCTCTTGCTTCCGAAACCAGAAACCACCCAATCTAGCAGGGATTCCTTATTATCTCCCGTCAACAGTGGATCTGATGCACCCATCGGCAGCTCATCGGTATTCGTCTCCGCCTTGACGCTGGAAATAATCACTTCATCCGCAGGTGGTGCCGCAGGGATCACAGTTTCTTCGTCAGTGATTATGAATGCAGTAGGATCTGCTAGATCTTCATTTGGTGCCGCCATCTTACCAACAGCAGGATTAATCTCCATTTGTGTCATCTTGTTTTCACAACCAAAATTCCCAATCAGTAGATGCTCAAAAATTGTTACTAAAACTAGTTCCATAATACTTACCAGCATGGCGTCTTTGGCTTCGGTATGACCACGAGACTCGGCTATTTCAAGGGGGGTCAGCTCAAACTTATTTTTTCTATGTATGCTAGCACCATAACGCATAAGCACTTGAATAACGGGATAATGACCACGTTCAGCAGCCCAATGAAGAGCAGTCATTTTCAACGTATCAACAGCATGGATATCAGCTGCACTTTTCAACAGTAATTCGACGATATCGGCATGTCCCTCCTGTGCAGCCAACTGTAACGGTGTGCGGTCCACTTTGGTCCTCGCATCCCGACTGAAACCTGCGTTCAGCAAGGCTTCACAGGTGGATAAATGGCCATTCATTGCAGCAAAGTGAAGTGGAGACATCCCCAGCTTAACCATATGACAAATATTCGTTAAATAACTTTCCGTGTGCGTACGTTTATGTGCATCACAGCAACAAAGCAGTATAATGATGATTACAATAATTAGACGCCTGTGTACTACTATAAGTTGAAGCAAACTAGAGTGTATGATAAACGAATTGAAAACACTATGTACTAATGGAAAAATAGCAAGCAGCTAAATGATGTTCAGCCAAGGGACTACACATTTTGGAAAGTTGATGAGAATAGCGCATCGAACAACGCGAATACCCAATCAGTTGCAAATGGAGCACCACTGTTGAGAAGACTTCTCACTTCTTCAACGTCCCCATTGCGTGAGGCATTAAGGAGACTCTTCCCGAGATCAGGGATGTTAAGAGGTTGAGGAACGCTTGAAGGCACTGACGCGTCATTACTCTGAATAACAAATTTTTCCATCATGACTGAAGCCACATTACTTAACTCACAAGACTTACAAGCTGACAATCTACCATGGGCAACTACCGGTTCTACATAAATTGAGATGCCTCGCTTCTTAAGGCCGATTAGAACAAGTACGCATGCAATGCATGCATAAGCAAAAGGTTTATATAGGTTTTAAATTCTTGTTGGAAATAATATTTTAGTTCGCATTACTATTGACGAGTATGTATTTAGGATTCTTTGCGCTATGCAATAAACCCAAAAAAATATACTCACAAAAGTTCTCTTCCAAAAAAGCTTGTTATCATGCCGTTTCCTCTCACGAGTCATTTGCTACTAATTTATTAAACATAGTTATCCTTATATTTAAAGCTATCTCCAAAAGTTCATAATGCATAACTACAACTATGGATCAATCAATTAAGAAATTAAATTATAATCAGATGGTTGTAGTATCCCTAGACCTCTCGACAGCTATAAGAAGGCATTAAGTAGAGCTGAATAAATGGGATTAGACCTGAGCATAGCCCGAAGGTCAGGCCAAGCGCACTTGTGTACTCGTCTAAACATTTACGCCTGGGCTGGAATTAAAACAATGCTTATTTATACCCGTGGCGTACCAAACCTTTCCATAAAGTGAAGGAAGGCAGTAAATGAGGCCGTGTAT